CGGGCGTTATCAAAACATGAAAATAGAGACTATACGTTTGCGCTTGTGAGAAATAAATATGAGCAACTCTTCAGCAATTGGTTGCTGAAGAGTTAGACGGAAATTGATAAACTCACGAAAACTTTCCTCGTATACGCACGCCAGCCTCAGGAGTATTACAGGAGTAATACACTGCAGGCCTCAACACTTGATCGCCCGCACGAGTCGATGCCAGGCCCTCGTTGTGCTGGTCGCGTTGCGCGCCCACCGCCCGCGAGAAGCCCTGCACCCGCCGTCAGATACGCTCCGCGGCTACGTCGCCGCCTGCCTCGACGCCGCTGCGCTCGTCGGCCGGAGATACTCCTGAGCGCTCGCGGTGTCCCTCTCTCCCGTTGCGTTCCACCATGCGCCCCCTGCACCCGACCCGCTTCGTCGTCCTCTTCCTCATGGCCACATGCGGCACTGCCGACGGCAGCCTCGCATCGAATGCAATCAGCCTCTTCATCTCCTTATCAATCCCAACTGATCCCTTAGATCCCCTCCAACTCCCCCTACCTACCTGCAACCCCCCGTTCCACATGTTCCGCACCTACACCCCTGCTCCCCAACCCATAGGTCTTCATCCTCGACACCACCACCACCGGCCTCTCCCCAGACTCCTCCTCCCTCTCTCCATGCCACCCGTCCAGGAGCACGACTCCCTCGCCAAGTCCTCTTCCCCTCGCACTGTTCCCCCTATATCCGCCCCATCCCACCTCCCTCTGCGTTCGTCCCTCCCTACAATCCTTCGACAACATCTCTACCCTGCCGCGCCCACATGCCCGACTCCCCGCCCCCGCCGCCGACGCACGCGCCTTCCGACCCGCCCCGGCCGCAAACATCCCCCACACACGCCGCTGCCGCGCAAAGCTCAACAACAACTTCGACCGCCTGTTTCAAGCCGTCCCCCCCAAGTCCTTCGGACTTATCGCTGCAGCCCTTGCTGAAACATCCTTCTAGCGCCTCCAGTTGCAATTTAACCACCCGCGTTGCGCACCCCTCTCTCTCTGCCGACTCCTCTCACCGGCGGCCCTGCCGCACGCCGGCCCAGCCCGCATAACCCATTTTTCTCGGGAGGAAGCGCAATCGAGATGGAAGACACCTGCAGGCGCGCACGTCAGCATTTCGCGATAGTCTGATGACCGTGGCCTAGGTTTTGCTTCGCTCAGAAATATTTATTCGCGCTTACTGGTAAAAGCTTCCATCATGACTTTAAGCTTCTCTAGCGCGAGGTTGTGCAAGGCCTCACGTTCTCCTGCACGCTCGTCTCTATCTCTCTCCCTTTCAATGCGATCAGCAGCGAAGCGTTCGCGCTGCAAGGCTAACTGCTCGCGTTCCAATTCAAATCTTGCCAAGTCGCCCTCTTTCAGTTGTTCCCCAAACGCCGCTAACTCTCCTGGAAAACCTGAAGCCATCATCTTCTTGCGCTTCGTACGCATCCGTGGAGTACCATCGAAGTCGCTGGCGCTATCGTTCCCATCGCTCCTGTAGTAATATGGTCTTCTTGAACGGAAAACCGCGAGTGTATACCACTTCTTCCCTTACGCTCATCGCCTTCGCCACTGCTTGACGCAGGCAAACCCGTCTCTTCCTCTACAGTCGCCATTGCGCGTGTGCGTTGGTTTTTTGAAGTGGGCGGAGGCAGATTGCTTGCGTGTGAGATCGCAATGGTCAAAAATGTCAAGTTCCCGCGATTTTGCAAGACATCTGTCCTCAAATACTTTCTCACGGCTCTGCACTAACTAGTGGGATATAGGGAATGTTGAGTTGACATCCATTGCAGAATTCTGCAAAAGAATTTTCAGTGTAATGTCTTTTGCTCACAAGTGCTGAAATCATTTCTCATTTCTGCAGGCGTATAGTCACTAATTTGCGAAATGTATTTATTTTCAACTCAAATGGACACGTTTTCTATTTTTCTTTGGTAGATCAACTTGTTTTAAGGATGTGCCCGACGATATTTTCTAGAATGGGTCAAAAACGCAGGTATATCATAAGGGCTATTTGTAGGTTGTTTTTAGCCGGCCACGACGTTTGAACTGCTACTCTACCCTCATTTTTTCCTTCAAACTGCAGGGAAAAAAGGCGGGTAGAGTTGACGACGATGTTGCGACCTTTGTAGCCCTTTTTGGTCGCGACGGGCACCTACGACCAACATGAAATGTGCTCTGTGCATCTCTACGAACCGCAAGGCGACGCACACAGTTTATGCATCGCTGCGCAAGGTGCTCCTCTCCAGAGGGGTGCCACATTTGGAAGAATCCGACAGAATATGCTGGCAGTGCACGCGAGAGAGCAGAATGGTTGCAGTCCTCGAGGGCGACGCCTACTTGAAGGTCTGTACGGAAAACGAAGCGATGAAAATCTTTTAAACTTCGGCAAACGATTGCCAAGACTGCGCCTCACATGTGGACGGGAGAACGTTTTTGACAAATGGGATTTGAAGATACCACACTACTTTTAGCTCACGCATCCGGCTCGATCAATTGCTAACTCTTTTTGTCGTGTTTGCAGCACTTTTGCTCCTTCTACGCCTTAGATATCTAACGTTCCTATACAGAGCGCGTTTCCTGGTTCTGTCTACGGAGTCATGCGACATGTGAGCGCGCAGCATGGACGCGCAGACGGCGTCATATCCCTGAGAGACCGACGCAGGGCAGCTAGATTGGTGGTTAGGGAGGTCATTCCTGGTACCGTTAGGCACACTCTCAACAAAGCTATTCTAGGTTCCAAGAGCGCCCCTGGGAAGCGGAAAGATCGTGGGCGGTCGCTAGGGCTGGACAGTGACCGAGCTGTGGTTGTCGTGCGCTCGAAGCGGCGTAGGTTTTGCTTTCCGAATGCCCCGACGGTCAACGCGGCTGGGCTGCGCATGCCTGCGGCTAGCATGGAGAGTGACGACGATCTGGTTGACCCCGTTGGCAGGCATCGCTGCACACGAGGCACGACCGTTGCTCCAGGTCTGTACCAAGTAACAAATCCAAGCAAAGAGAAGATAGGCCGTGCCCAGGAGCCTTTGGAGATAATGAATGAGTGCGACTTGTCGTCTTTTATGACATTGCGGACAGAATAGTGCTCAGTCTGGCGTGTCGGGGCCGATGCTTCGCCCCTGGCTGCGCTGCTGTTGACGCTCTGCCCATTATACCGCGAGGGACGATTGTTGAGGGGCGGGCCATTGTCGTGTCAGTGAAGTGCAGCGCGTGTCTGGAGGAGTTCCGCTTGAACCGAGGCTCTAAAGACCGCCTTGATGCGCACTCTGCTCGCTCGCCCGCTTTGTTGAACGTGTTGGCTTCAATCGCGATTGTAGTGCGTGGAGGCTCTCTACAAAAGATAAACACTTTCGCAGCGCTGACGGGAATGGGGCCGGGCATCGACGACACAGTTTCGTACCGGTACCTTGAGGATGCTGCGCTTCGGGACAAGATTGTATGCGCTGCCAAAGCGGAATGCATGCATGCCCTCGACGTTTCGCTTGAGTCTGAGAATGAGCGATCCGGAGATGCGCCTGACCTCTCTTTCGACGGCGCCTGGAGTCGCGGGCGGAACGCGTCGGTTGGGTATGGGGACTTGCTTGCGCACCTCACAGAGAAGCCCGACGGCTACGTGACCCGCTTCCCAGTCGTCGGGTTTCACGTTGTGCAAAAAAGCAGGCATACAGGCCTCCGGCCAGTGGCAGTCGCTGGCAGCGAGGATGCTGAGGAAGAGTCGAGCGCGGCAGATGTAGTCTACATGTCATTTGAAGGAGAGCATGGAGTGGCAGGCGCGTCGCAGACTATGGAGGACTCGTGCTTCGAGGCTATCATGCCAGACGTGAATAACAGGCTGGTGAGTGTTAGGAAGCAGGTTACGCTCGTCTGTGACGGTGATTTGAGATTGGGAGCAAAGGCTCGCCAGCTAGACTATGTTCGCGATATAGGACTGGACCTGCGTCATTTCTCGTCAACTGTCAAAAACGTTTACTCAAGGCATATGGCGAGAATCGGAAGACGGCGAGCGAGGAGCACATCGCGCTGATAGATAATGTACAAAAGCACCTGCTCTGGTGCTACTACATTGGAAAGCAAAACAAATTGTCGGCCTCGAAATTCGATGACGCAGTTGTTGGCTGTGTGGACCACTGGAGGGGCGACCACAGTCAATGTCCACCATCCTCCGTCTGTGTCAAAAGTGGCCTGGGCTCGTCGTATCAGGTGCCCGCAAATCGGTCCCTGGCTTCTTTGAGCGAGAACAGCGCGGCGCTCCTGAAGCAGCGCGTCCGGGCCGCATTGCGACGAGAGGAGTATCAACAGGTGCTGGTTGACGCAAACACTTCCATCAAAGAGTCGTGCCATCATTCGATGGTCATCCACGGATCCTCCAACGGAAAGAGCGGCAACGACGGGATAAACGCAACTCTTCGAAGGAGCATAGAGGTGCTTGTGTGGAACAGGGGCGTGCTCTGGACGGCAGAAGTCCTTCTGGACATGGTCCTCGGCAGCCCACAGGTGCTGTCTGAAGCCGACAAGTCATACCTGGCGCGGATCGACAAGCAGGTGGAGACCGACAGAAAGACACAGATGAAGATGGCGTGCGATGAGCTTGAGGCCCGTCAGAAGCACTCCGACGAGCGTGTGGAAAGAATGAAGCCGTAAAACATGGCGTTTGCAACCCAGCTGATCCCGTACGGAGCCTATGCTGCAAAAGTGCGTGCACTCCCGAAAGACAACGCTCTCACCAGACAGTACGCAAAAGTAGTCTTACCCCGCACAGAGGCGACATGTGTACTGCAACTCCGAGAAATGCAGCCGCTGTAAAGTGCAGGAGAGAGGAGAGGAGCGCGGGGGGCTTTGCATGACTTGCTCCGCGCGGCGGCACCTGGTAGTGGAGCAACGGCAGTATCCGTGGACGCTCAGTGGATGTTTGAGCTACGACAGAGTTGAGAGCGATTCTAGCGATGTCGCTTCCGTTTTTTTGTGAGTGAGGTCTTTGCCTGTGTATGCGCCTTGTCAGGGTCTCTTCGGCCGCCTAACTTCTCTACCAACAACAACCGAGCCCGAAAAGCCGCTGGAGCCCGGCACGGCAACGAGGCGCAGAATGCTGCAAAATCGAGTGGCGGACTTGACCGCAATAATGGATAAGCAGTTCGACTTGGCAACAACATAAAGGCACATAAACTCAAACTGAGCTCTTGTTAGCATCGAAGCCGGCTTGGTGGCGGGATCTAGAAGAATTGAACTCAGTGATGCGTGTAGGTCTTCCCTCAGCGCCCCTGCGTCAAGCCCCTCCTCCTGGCTAGCAACCCTTATGAGCTTTACTACAGCCTGCGGGGCGCCTTCGAGGGACCCGTTGCAGAAAAACGCATTCACAATCTCGTACCCCTCTTGCGCACCTATCCCCCGCCATTTGAAGCAGCCCATCGCAGCCACAACTGCGAACGCAAAAACGGTCGCGTACCTAGACTTAAGTCTAGGGACGTGGGGTCTCGCAGGTCGAATTCGACCT